ACAGATGCTTCAAGATCTGCTTCTTAATGATCCCGGCCATGCTGCAGCCGCGGCCCGCGTGGAATGCAGGCGGGCGAGCGGGCAGCCGTGGCCTCCTCAGTTGTGGAAATGAGGCGTCCTCTACCTCGCCGCGGCGCGGGCACCGGCTGCCGTAGGCACGGCGGACGCCATGGCGCTCTGTCGCCCCTGCCGCAGCGCCCGGAGTTCCGCCACGTTCCCACCCACCGCCCCGCGCGCGACGCCGCAGCCTCCCGCGGAGAGGAACCGCGGCTGCACGCCGCCCTCCCGGCTCCCCCGTGGCGAGAGCGCACGGCGAGGGGCGGGGACGCGCGCGGCGGCACAGGCGCAGGGGGCGAGGGGCGGGGCGGCGAGGCTCACGAGGCATAGGGGGCGGGGCCCGCGGGGTGGGGCGGGGCCTACACGGTAAGAGGCGGGACTCAGGCTTCTAGGAGCTGGAGGGTGGCATAGGACTTCACTCCGAACTCGCCCAAGCCAGAGGCAGGCAAATATGGGAGCCTGAGACCAGCCTGGTCTACATGGGGAGTTCCAGGATAGCCAGGGTTACATTGAGAGACCTTGTCACCAAAGAAATAAAAAAATTGCCGGGCAGTGGTGGCGCACGCCTTTAATCCCAGCACTTGGGAGGCAGAGGCAGGTGGATTTCTGAGTTCGAGGACAGCCTGGTCTACAGAGTGAGCTCCAGGACAGCTCGGGCTATAAAGAGAAACCCTGTCTCAAAAAAACAAAAAAAAATTGATATTTTTAAATTTAAAAATTATATTGCACAGTGGTGGCGCCTTTAATATTAATATTGCTCCTTTAATCCCAGCACTTGGGAGGCAGAGGCAGGCGGATTTCTGAGTTCGAGGCCAGCCTGGTCTACAGAACAGGACAGCCAGGGCTACACAGAGAAACCCTGTCTCCAAAAACAAAAAATTGATATAAATGTCAACCTTTGCAAGTGTCCTCTTACCATATCTAAGCTGAAATCTCAAACTGAGGACACAGTTCAGGTAAGGCGCTTGCCACCATGTGTAAGGCTAAGTTCCATCCACAGACCCAAAAGAGAGCGGCTCAAACTCCGAAGCGCAAGGACAGTAAGAAACATTTCCGGTAACCCTGTCTGACACACTGTTCTAGCAGCTGATTCTGAGCCAAGAAATCTAACCTTTAATGCTTCCGGTTTCAAGAACAATATCTGCAGCTATTATGCTTCTGTTAAATACATAAGGTCTCCGTGGTAAACAACGTGCTAGGCAGGTCTCGGGACACTCCATTAAACACAGGAGGAGGCTCCTTCCGCTCTGCACTGTATCGAGTCTCCGATAGCACCTGACCAAAGCTACGCAACTGGGACAAGGGCTCAATCCTGTTTCCCTCCTCGGCGCAAAGATCTCATTTCTCAATGCACCATTCTGACAAACTGCTTAGGTCAAAACTCCGAACAGCCATGGCAAACCTAAGAAACATACTGTGCTTAAAGGCTCCTTTAGGAAATTTAAATAACTAGAGACCCCAATCTGTGTATTGATCAGTAGTACACAACTGGAAAAAAAAAAACCTCAGCAACATACTCAACTGCCTTTTGAAAAGGAAGCAATGAAAATGAAAGCCAATGTCTTCAATTCTCGCTATTTAGTGTGGTTTTGCTTTCTTGGTTTGGCAGGGGTAGAGATTAAATTCGAGTGCCTCTCAGAGGACCCCGCCCCTTTAAAAAAAAAAAAACCGGTATTGTTGGGCTGGAGAGATGGCTCAGTGGTTAAGAGCATGGACTGCTCTTCCAGAGGTCCTGAGTTGAAATCCCAGCAACCACATGGTGGCTCACAACCATCCATAAAGAGATTGGATGCCCTCTTCTGGTGTGTCCGAAGACAGCTACAGTGTACTCAAAATAAATAAATAAATCTTTAAAAAAAAAAGTATTGTTTTTATTTATCTGTGTGTACCTATGTGAGTTTATGAATGTCATGTACACGCAGGTGCCTGCAGAAGCCAGAAGCTGTCAGATCCTTTGCTACTGGAGTTAAAAGCAGCTGTGAGCTGTGGTGTGGGTGCTGGGCATTGAACCCAGGTCCTCTAGAGCAGCACTTAGCTGCTGAGCCATCTCTCCAGCTCCCAAGTCTTTTAAGCTTACTCTTGGTTGAGGTTGAGACAAGGTATCCAGATACAGCCCTAGATGGTCGGGGAATTGCTATGTAGATAGACCAGGATGGCACCAAACTTTAACCATCCTCCTGTCTCTGCCTCCTGAACGCCAGCAAGGCAGCTGTCCACACACACCTGGCTATACTCATTTTAATCACTGCAATGAAAATTCATTGAGGTTTCACAAGTTGTCATAAGTTTTTTTCTGAAACCTTATTCCAAAACTAGTAATGTTTTCAGATGGAGATTTAATTTAAAACACACTGAACCACTGCCATGGCACGAGCCTTTAGTCCCTGCACTCAGGAGGCAGAAACGGGTGGATCTACTTGAATCTGAGGCCAGCGTCGTCTACAGACTGAGTTTCAGGACAGTCATGGTTACACAGAGAAACCCTGACTCAAGAAAAAAAAAAAAGAGAGAGAGAGGGAGGGAGAGAGAGAGAGAGGAGGAGGGGGGACCTGACAATAATTTTTTTGTTGTTTAAGACAGGGTTTTTCTGTCTAGCCCTGGCTATCCTGGAACTAATTTATAGACTGGGGTTACAGATAGGCCTGCCTCTGCCTACCTAGTCCAGGAACTAAAGGTGTGAGCTACCATGCCCAGCTATAACACACTCTTAAAATCCCAGCCCTAAGAGCTGAGGTAGTTCAAGGCCGACCTGGGCTATATGATACTATTGCATCTCAGGAGAACAGCCAGGCATGAAGTACCTGGAAGGAAGAAGCAGGACTATTAGAAACTCAAGGTCCTACAGGGCAGTGGTGGTGCATGCCTTTGATCCCAGCACTTGGGAGGCAGAGGCAGGCGGATCTCTGAGTTCGAGGCCAGCCTGGTCTACAGAGTGAGTTCCAGGACAGCCAGGGCTACACAGAGAAACCCTGTCTCAAAAATCCAAAACAACAAAAAAAAAAGGAAACTCAAGGTCCTCCTCAGCTACTTAGCGATTTCTGGGACAACTCAGGTTCCATGGACTGTTATCTTTTATGTGTCTGCATACACACCAGAAGAGGGCATCAAATCCCACTACAGATGGTTGTGTTCCACATGTTGCTGGGGATTGAACTCAGGACCTGTGGAAGATTAGGCAGCACTCTTAACAACTGAGCCATCTCTCCAGCCTGGAGACCGTATCTTAAAAAAAAAAAAGTAAAAGGGGGGTCTGGAGAGATGGCTGCTCTTCCGGAGGACCTGGGTTCAATTCCCAGCAGACCCAGTGCAGCTCACGCTGTAACTCCAGTCCCTGGGCTTCTGACACCCTCACACATACATGCAAGCAAAACACCAATGAACATAAGATAAAAATAAATTACATGAAAAAAACTAAAAAATTACTTACTTTTTTTTTTTCCCCCAGACAGGGTTTCTGTTTGTAGCTATGGCTATCTGAGAACTTGCTCTTTAGAGGAGGGTGGTCTCGAACTCAGCAATCTACCTACCTACTCTGCCTAGCTAGGACTAAAGGCGTGTGCTAAATGACTCTTGGCTTGCCCATTTTGCCAACTGGATTTTTGAACCATGTTGAGGTAGAAATGCCAAATTGAGTAGCCTAGACACTGGAAAACCTAAAGTAGTAAATCAGCCAAATGATTACCTCTGTGTTGTTGTTTTAGTTAGGCCCGTTACCTTTCGGATACTGCTTCTAGATCCTGTGCAGCTGGTAATATCAATAACCACAGCCAGATATACGGGTCATTTAAACTACACCGTTAGATCAGCAAAGAAAAAAAATAAACCTGTTTGATTTTACAAATCTTGTAGATGTCACCATTAGCTGACAAGATAGGCGGACATGGCAACACACACCGGTCATCCCAGCACTGGGGAGGCAGGAGCTCAGGTCAGGGTCAGCCTCAGCTACACAGTGAGATCAACTGTAGGACCACATGAGAGCCTTTCTTACTCTGTGAACCCCACCCTCATGGCAAAAGGCCAAGTAGGGGATCTGAGAAAAAGAAGTAAACGGCTAATGTGGGTAGTTACTTACAGGCATGGCTAGTGGTCAGAGCTCAATCTTGGGGACATAGACTCTAATGAGTTGTCTTCTGACCCTCCACATTCACAAACACACATACACAAGTGAACGTAATGATAAAAAATAACAATGAAATCAATGTTTGCTTTTTCAGATAGGGGTTCTCTGTACAGCCCTAGGTTGTTCTGGAGCTCGCTCTGTAGACCAGCCTGGTATCAAACTCAGAGATCCATCTGCCTGTTTCCCAAGTGCTGGGATTAAAGGTGTGCGCTATCATATGGCTGTGAATGGATTTTTTTTTTAAATTTGATGTGTCGGCCAGTCATGATAGTGTATACCCATAATTCTAGCATCAAGGCTAGCCTGGGCTGTACAGATCCTCTCACACAAATGCAGTGACATCAACTTCATCCTCTGCAACAGTTAGTCTGAGATCAGCTCAGGCCACTTCAAAAGTCTGTCTCAAAAATTAAACATGGAAAGTGAGGCAGGGGTGGCGTGCACTTTAATCCCAGCATCCAGGAGGCAGAAGCAGGCAGATCTCTGAATTCAAGGCTAGCCTGGCCTACACAGAGAGTTCCAGGATAGCCAGGGCTATACAGAGAAACGATCTTAAAAGAAGCAAAAAACTCCTGAGAATTTTTCTCAAAAAATTTGAGAATACAGATCACAATAAAGATTTGCTGCAGAAGGGAAAAAAAAAGAAAAAATTTTGAGAATACAAAAGAAAAAAATCTCCAAGGTCCTGTGATAAGGAAATATAAGTCAGGCGAGCACAGGATTGACAGCATCGCTAACACGCTGGAGACACACTAGCAGATCACAGCTGGCTTCATCTCCCCTGTAACACAGGAGCCGGAAGGAAGGGACAGGGAGACACTTTAACTAAAACAGCTGACCATTTTATTTTCACGTTTCCCAATGTAAGTGAAAACAGCCCCTTCTGTATCACTTCTTCCTCTCTGTTATGAAGGAAGGTCCTGGCCATGCGTCTAGTAAGCACTCAGGCTCAGCACCAAGATCTCCTGGTCAAACAGCACAATACAAAACGATGAAGAGCGAGCGCTTCTGCTCTTATCTGTCTGGCCGGGTCATGCCGGGCCGTGTGGGCACCATCATCGGGCGGGCGGGGGGTCTCATCATGGGAGGCCCGGGCATCATGGGCATGTGGCCTCCCATGGGCGGTCTCATCCCAGGAGCTGCAGAACAGAGCAAAGGGGAGGAGTGAACAACAACATTCAGGAGACAACAGAAGGGACTTCAGTAAAAACCCACATGAGAGCGAGAGCGGGGTGGTGGGGGTCACTTCAGTCACAGCAGTCAACAGGGCCTCTGAGTTCTAGGCCAGCCTTGTCTACAGAGTGAGTTCCAGGACAGCTAGGGCTACACAGAGAAACCCTGTCTGGGGGGAAAAAACAAACTAACTAGAGAGTGGACCTAAAGGGACACACGGCAGGAAAAAAAAAATGCAACAAATTCTTCAAATGAGAAGTTACTTAAGACATGCTCCAACAGAGGAAAAGGTCAGCACAGGAAATGCAGGGACCCTGGTCTGATGACAGCACGGCTATAAATAGAGCACAGCTCACAGGCACCAGGAACACCAGCTCTGCTCGTCAGTTTCTGTTTGGCTAGTTCTAGCTGTGGTTTTTGTTGCTGTTGCTGTTTTGGGTTGGAATAGGTCTCTCTATTATAAAGCTCTGGCTGTCAGAACTGGCTCTGTAGACCAGGCTGGCCTCAACTCAGAGATCCATCTACTTCTGTCCAGAGTGCTGAGATTAAAGGCGGGCACTCCCATGCCTGGTCTGCTTGGCTTTTTCAACCTGTCATCTCCACTGTGTGACTGAGAGCTGTATCCGCCATGTGCAGGCAGAGGCCAGTCTCAGCACTGAGCCACTGTTGGGAACTACAGGGAAATGATCAGGCCCAGGTTAAAAACCTGACAGTACCAGTTTTAGCTCAAGTCACAAAGAATAACAAGCATCACTTTAAATGGAACACACTGAGTTCATTTTCTAAATGCAGTTTAGAAACTATTACTCAACTCTGTATGTGTGTATCAACAAGGAACCAGCCAGAGCCATGTGTTGGGAGGGAAGACAGAGCAACCAGAGGGTCAAGGAGCAACAGGCAGCTTCAGTGCAAACAGCTGGATGTCAGGATCATGAATATTCATTTTGTTGTTATGTTCTATAAATTCTCTGCTATGTGAATTCTTTGACCCCTTATCTCAAAAGGGGAAATAAAAGTTAGGGGTAAACAGAATTACAAATACATCATGGTATCCTTAAAAGTATTTCCTTTAGCTGATTTTGATTAAAGCCTCGTGGTATAGATAGCTCAAGATATAACCATAGTCAGAGTTGGATGTGGGGTACAAGCCTATAATGCCAATACCCTGAGGGGACAGAGGGCTCCTGAGTTCAAGGCCATTCTAGGTTGTAAGAGTAAAACTTTTTCTAAATCCAACACTCCCTTCCCCCACCACAGGAGGGCAAATGGTGTGGTGAGAGCTCTATCACCCAAACGCCCGGCATGCAGATAACTATGTGTGAGAAACTGCAGTAGGCCCGGAAGCTTCAAGGGCCAGTATCAAGGATAACATGGAATACTGTCCTCTACAGTGAACACACAGGTCCACACTGGTGATCTGTTTGTAACCGTCTATAGGAAACTGGTCCATATAAAACATTACCAACTGGGCACCTGAAGATTTGTTCTTTTTTCTCTCCACAGTGGATTTATTTAATTCAGATTTTCCAATAATGAGATTTCATATACAAGTCTTAGTTTCCTTTCACCTTTTAACTTGACTACAGTCATGGACCCTATGTGGGGTAGTAAAAGCAGGTGTGATGGCCCCAGGTCTTCAGAGCCAGCTTCAACAGGCCTGCCCTAAGACCTCCACACGTGCTATGGTGTGTGGGTGCCCCACATGCACACAGGAAAGAGAACTCCTTTAGATAGTCAGAGATCCTCAAGGCCGGGGTGCACTCCCACGCACTGGCCTGTAAGTGGGAGAGCCTGTAAACACTGCAGGACTCTGGCAACAAAAGTGTAAAGTACTGGACAGAAAGCTCTTCTCTACTTCCTGGATTAAAAACCCAAATCAAAGAACTCTGGGCGTGGTGGCACACACCTTCAATACCAGCAGAGGGAGACAGAGGCAGGGGGTCTGTAGACTAAGGCCAGCCTGGTCTACATAGACAGTTCCAGGTCAGCCAGGGCTTCAAAGGGAGACCCTGTCTCAAAAACAGGAAAAAAAAAAAAAACCTATAAAGCCATAAAGCCAATGGTTACTAATTTAATGATTAGGTACAGTTAATCTCAGAGTAAATCCCCAACAGGAGGCAGTGCTACAACAAATCAAAATAGAAACTACCTTTGTTTTACCCCCAAGATGCAGCCAGCTCACTCACACCATCATAAGTAGGCAAAGGAAGGAAACAGAAGGGAAGGAAGGGCGGGA